TATACATATATACATATATACGTATACACATATATACATATATACATATATACATATATGATATGTTAATATCCATTGATATCCCCAATTATATAACACTTCCATTGCTGCTTACAGATCCCAAAATCCATTAAAAACGTCATCATCTTTGGTGATCCAATGATCCAATCACCATTTTGACCCCCAGGAAGTCTATCGTCGCTACAGCGGTCATGTCGCTCCTCCCGGCGCTGTTGGGGGCACCTGGAGGATCTCGGGATTTTTTCACCGGTGGAATGGGGGCCCTGATTTTTAGATATGGGTATGGGTCAATACCTATCAATACCATTTTTAGTGGGATGAACATCCATTTTAACCCAGCTATTTTGGGGTTCACTAGGTGCCAGGGTTTTGACCAATAGCCAGATATCTTTAGGAGGGCTGAATTTAAGCGTCAACTCTGAAATCGTCAACGAAAAGATACTGTTCGCCACAGTGCTGGGATGTTTCGGATCCTTTGCAACCGCGCCGAGTTTTGCCTCATGTTGATGTCGGGTCAACACAAGCGCAGGCTCATTATTGTGCAACAGTTGATTTTGTTGTACACCGTGATACTCGGACCACCCTGACCAAATTTAACAACATTGGTCCAGTATCAATAGGGAACGTCTGCAATTACGGACTGAATGAAACGAATCATGGGGATAATCTGACAAACAAGGCATACTTATGAGACGATAACGAGATGATCATGATCATGGGATGGTTATATAAGATGATCATGGAAAGCAAAACTCGGCCCTGAAAATGAAGCGAAACTGCATTTTACGACGTGGCAAAATTTTGATAAATTTTGCATTTGAACCAGGTGAGTTTCCGCTGTTTCTGGGTATGGCTGCTATGGCTCAAATTCATTTACCATCTGGTTATGACTAACATAGCCATGGAAAATCACCATTTCTAATAGGTAAACCATCTATAAATGGACCATTTTCCATGGCTATGTTAAATAACCAGAGGGTAGCCTGACAATTGGATGGGTCATGATTTCAGCATCCAAGTTCGACGAGGTCCATTTAAGGTGTAAAGTGTAGCCAAATTTCCTGGTCGCCGCAGCAAGTGAATTGAAGCCTTTTGGAGTGGCAAATCAAAACTAAATGCGGAATTTCAATGAACATGATGTGGAATTCATATACGTTACACACACATATATGTGAAATAGTAGTACATCGATGGATCTGGTTTATAAACAAATATATCCATAATATATAAAATCTATAAAATCTATAACATATATATATAACATCTATAATATATATATATAACATCTATATATAATATATATATATATGGATATGGGCTCCATTTCGACGGTCCGAATCCATGGGATTCTTGAACCCAGGCGCGGTTCATGTCCTTCGGTGAGTTTCAGGAGCGATTTCAATGGGAAGATCCGAAGAGTTTGGCGAGTGAAGCATCCAAACATGGTGATTTGGACATCCAAAATGGGTGGTTTCACATGGTATGTATAACCATTGAAAAATGCTGCTTGACCCATGGAAAGCATGGTGCTGTGACTGGTTGACTCCTATTAAAAAGTGGATGTGGATTGAAGCATCAACCAATATGGTGGTTTGACGAAGAAACAACGGGGATTCGAAGCGATGAAGAATGGATATTTATCTGAAAATGCTGATTTAACATCAATGAATGGGGAAAAAATGGGATGTGAATGGGGACACAATGGGATGTATAACCAAGAATCTGATACTGGCTTAGTACGAAAATGGGGCATACCCCAAGTGATGGCAATTTTCCATGGGGAAGATGATGAAGCCAGGGAAAATATCGGTTTGGGGTACCATATTTTCAAACAAAGCCATAATCTTAGTCCAAAAATGTCCAAAAGATGCGAGGTGAGTCTGATCTGATGGTCATGGGGAACTGATTCGCCATGTTCACCCCAAAGGTTTGGCGAGGTCTTTGGAGGAGTCGAACTAGTCGAAAAGAAATAAGATAAATAAGCCAATACTTCACCCATGGATGTTTTGTAGTGAAAATGTCCAATTAAATAGATTTTCGTTGCCCCCCCCCAAAGAGTCACTCAGACACAGCCCAATTTTCGTTCATGGTTCCCGTATGTTGCGCAGGATTTGTTGGAAGCAGCAAAGGCCTACAACAACGACTTTGTACCCAGGACCCAATGGGTGGATAGGATAGCTGGAAGGGACTGTACCTGGTGATTTGGCTAGGCCATGTTTTTTTTTTTGGGTACGTAAAGATTCCATGTAAACGGTAGACCTCGCTAGACTAAATGATCAGTCATTAGTTCGAAATCTGAAGTTGTTGATGAATAATTAAACTGAAACATCCTGAAACAAACACGTTGAACATGCGGGTGACCACCCGAAATTCTGCAGGATTTGTGTCCAGCAATTGGTTACCCAGTTGGCCCAGTACGGAAAAAAACGGGTTGACGCCCAAATTGACAAGGGGATTTAGCACCCTAAACATGGGGATGAACAATGGAGGCAATGGGGTACCCAATTTTCACACCCAACAAGACTGCCAATCTCTAGTGAGGCTTCTCTAAGAGCGTCACATCACAAGGTTTCTAAACGTGGCGCCAGCATTTTGGGGGCCCAATTTTTCCTGGTTAAAATGCCTATGTGCTATGTAAAAAAATATAATTTATGATATCATATAATATAATTTATCCATAGTGGGGAACGGTCATCAATCAATCACTTACATAGACTTATCATAGAGATTTATCTACACCCAGTGTAAGGAATTCCTAGAAAAGCTGTCATTCAAGAACCAATTCATTCCATGTAACTGGACGGTGGCACGCATGTTGTTTATCATATCCCATTATATGATATCCCATTCTATCCCACTATTGCTCACGTGAATAGCCCATGTACCATGATCTTCCATTATGAATATCCTATTCTATGCCATTACTGTTAATATCCTCCATTGAAATCAACTATTTTGGCAGGTGAAAACTCTCCCTTTAGCCGCGAGCCACCAGGAGATGTGGCTTGGCCTTTCGCTTGGGCATGATGACGCAGGCAGATGAGGTCTTTCGCTCACGCTTCCAGGTGAGGGACTCACCAGCTGTGCGGTTCAGTTTTTGGTTTTTGAGGATTCACCAATCACAATGGCTTGCTGAAGATGATTATGATGATTTATATACCCTCTGGTTATTTAACATAGCCATGGAAATGGCCCATTTATAGATGGTTTACCTATTATAAATGGTGATTTTCATGGCTATGTTAAATAACCAGATGATATATATATATATATATGTTCCCACTGGGACATCACCAGAACTGGTGAATCTTCGGGAGCCTCATATAGCTTGGGTATGGATAGCAAAAAATAGGGATAGAACGGAGAGATTTTCCAGCAACACATGGACTTTTTTTGTGAAATATCAAAGGATTGGTAGAAGGGACCAAGGGACCATCGACCAAGGGGAGAAAAACTGGGATGTTTACGGTGCCATGAACAGCTGGTTGGTGGTTTTAACCATCTTGAAAAATATGAAAGTCAATGGGAAGGACTATCCCATATATTATGGAAAGTAAAATTCATGTTCCAAACCACCAACCAGACAAGAATTGTGACAAACTGGTGAAACTGGTGAAACATGGGGATTTTCTGGGATCTCAAAAAGGTCAGAGGCTGAATGGAATTGCCGTAGTGTTTGTGAGTCTTTGCGAGGAGATGAGCTTCCTCGAATTTCAACATGCCGTTCGCTGCTTAGAGCCGGGACGCTGGCCGGTGTTGGGAATACGCCCAGAATTGGGTTCCTATTACACGACTTTTTCAGTGGTGTTATCTATTCTGAACGTGGCTGCAATAACAGTTATTTTACAGTTAATTTAACAGTTATTTTTACATGTTTTCCAAGGTGTCTCGTTCTCCAATGATGGTCCCAATGGACAATTTCATCTCACAGTTGAAGTTACGCGACAGACACAACGGGGACACCTGACTTTGCTCAATCCACGTGGACAATTTGAAGCAATTCAACTACTTGCTGATTGGTGGTTTGGAGCATTTTTTATTTTTCCATACATTGGGAATGTCATAACCCCAACTGACTAATTAATATTTTTTCAGAGGGGTTTATTCACCACCAACCAGCTTGTTTTTTTGTCCACGATTCATGGTTTAGCACGGTCACCCCATACCTCCCACAAGGGGGGCTGCTGAGGTTGGCGTCATCGCTTGGATGCGTTCAGGTGGTTTGACCACAGCCTTGTCGGTGTCTTGGTGACGGAGTGACGGAGTCCCGGTGTCGCTGTCTTGCCATTTGGGTCTGAAGATATATTAAGAATGATTAAGATATACCAATGGGTACCCCCAAATCCCATCCGATAAATCCATGGATTTTCACCATGACGGCAATGAATTGGAGGTGAAAACTGCCCGTTTCTTGTTACTTCTGTTACCAACTGCACCCCCAAGTAGGTGTTTGAAGCTGGTGAAGGAAATGGGAAGAACCTGCTGAAGCACGGCAAAGATATTTGCTGTTCATGATTTTGAATAAGACATCTATGAACCGGAATTATCCCTTGCAGTTCATAGGTTCAACTTATAACTTATCTAGGTTGTTTCTATGCCAAATTGTAGTACTGTCATCCCCAAAGAATAGAAGCGCAATCCCAACTGCACTTTTTTCGCACTCGCTGGCTGCCTTCATTCGGGTGTGTACCCCAAAAATTGATATTTGATCATCATTTTGAGTTTTCCCTATTGAAATGCTCACTATTTTGGGATGTATACTGTATACACATCGTTTTCTGGCACACCTATATAAATATCACATTTTTGTTTTTTAGCATATCCCACTACATATTCCATTAAATCCCCATTGTTGATGCTTGAATCACACATTCAACATTTCTCATTAAATTCCGACTAAAGATTCTTTTCCCAATAATTTCCCCCCATTAATAGTATACTATTACTATCCCATTAAATTCCCACTGTTGCTATGTCAGGAAGCGGTTGACAGCTTCATCGTCCAGAAGTTGTCGCCGCTCAGCCGCCGGAACCTGCTCCGCGGCGCGTCGAGCTTCGCGGGCGAGTTCCGCGGCAAGGCGAACATTGCGATGACGCCCACGGCCTTCCGCAACTTGACGGAACGAGTGTAGCGGGTGGGTTTTCGAAACCTGGAGATGTTGGGAGATGTTGGGAGACTTCTACTTTTTGGAGGAGAATTAAAATGATTGAAGCAAGACTCGTGGGAAAGATGGTAGAAAGGATGGGATAATACGTGACAATACTAAATGAAATTGGGGATATGTGTTAACGTATTGGTTCCTGTCCAACCAAAATGCATCTGAGTTTGGTGGACAAACCTGGATGAGGTTGGTGTGAAGAGCCAATGATAACCAGTTTCAGAATCAGTTTCAGTATGTTCAATGGATTTGCCACAACGTGATCAACATGCATGTGCCAATTTGTTGTGAAGTTTGCAGTCCGAATTTGGTGCCTCCCAGGAGGGTCAATGCTGCGAGATGTTTGAGGGCTGCATAGGGCTGCCGGGCTAGGGGCCTGCTAGGTCCAGGAAAATCCAGGAACAGAGTCATCCAAAGTCATGGAAAAAATGCAACAGATTTAGTCGCCAACAACAAAAGAAATGTGTTTGACAGGTTTTCAGCACGGTTTGCACGCTTGCTACCATCCAAATCCAATGGGGTAGAGCTTGAAAGACCCGTGAAGTTGTCGCTTCCCCCGAATTCGAAGCTGTTTGGATGGTCCCAGGAAGGGAACACATTTGATAACTAAAACTGGTACCACCGACTGAGACGGCCTCAGCAGACACAACTGGGTATGACTCAAACTTTGGTTCTCAGCATGAATTGGACTGTCCCGAATGGAATCGTGTTAGACAGCCTTGTCAACATGTTTGTTTTTGTATAGCTCCATAAAAGTCATTAACATTCATAGTGAAAAAACACCCGAAACAAACACGTTTGGTCAGATCAACTGTGCTGAGTCTGTGTCTTCATGCCCAGCTTCGAGTCACTGAGCGCCCAAAGAAACTCAGCGGAGGTTTCGCAGCGACTCTGGGACAAGGTTCCACCTGACGCGCGAATGTGCGTCGTGAGTGCGGCTGTGGTCTCAGAGCGGTCGTCCAACGGCTCCATTCGGTGTAAAAAAGGTGTCATTGATGTTGATTGCATGGGGACATAATGGGGATATAATGGGGACAATGATGGGGACGCAATTTGGATTAATACAATGAATTAATGATACATAATTATACCAGTAGGTACTGCACAAGGCGGTGGCGGAAGTTTCAAAAATAGGAAACCTATAGGAGAGATTGGTTGTTGTGAATCACGGATGGCAGAGCGAATCCACTGATGGACCGAAAGGTGGTTGGAGCTGTGTTTTTTGGAGTGGTTGCAATGGTTGCAGTGGTCACCTGGTCGGTCGCCTCACGCACAACTGCTGGATGTAGTGTGGTGTAGTGCAGCTGTAGTTGTAGTTGTAGTGTAGTGGAGTTGTAGTTGTGGTGTAGTGTAATTAGTGTAGTGTAGTTGCAGTTGCATTTGTGGTGGTGTAATGAGTGTAGTGTAATGTAATGTAGTGTGGGGTAGTGTAGCGTAGTGTAGTGTAGTGCAATTGAGTGTAGTGTGGTGTGGTGTGGTGTAGTGTGGTGTAGTGTAGTGGAATGTAGTGTAGTGTAATGTAGTGTAGTGGAGTGTAGTGTTGTAGTTGTAGTTAGTTTAATGTAGTGTGATGTAGTGTTGTAGTGTTGTGTAATGTCATTAGTGTAGTGTAATGTAATGTAGTGTAGTTGCAGTTGTAGTTGTAGTTGTAGGTGTAGGTGTAGTGCAGTGTCATTCAGTGTAGTGTAGTGGAGTGTAGTGTAGTGTAGTGGAATGTAGTGTAGCGTAGTTGTAGTGTAGTGTAGTGGAGTGTAGTGTACTGTAGTGAAACGTAGTGTAGTGTAGTGGAATGTAGTGTAGTGTATTGTAGTGTAGTGTAGTGTAGTGTAGCGTTGTTGAGCATAATTGAGTGTAGTGGAGTGTAGTGGAATGATACCCTCAACTACTTAAGGTCTAGAAGGCCCCCCCCTGGAGGGGCTAGGGTCTAGAGGTCTAGACTGATAATTAGGGCATTGTAGACCTGTCCCAGTGGTACCACTCTAGACCCTTGGAATTTGGAGGTTTTGAAGCTAGCAAAAAATGAAATATAAAATCATAGCATTCTGGGGCCCTACTGTCAGGAAGCCATATTTTTTTGGGTTCACCCCAAATCCCTAGCAACACAGATTGATGATTGGAAGCAAAAATAAAGGGATTCTGAAAGAGAGGTTCTGGAACAGGTTTATTTTTTCGACCAATCTTTTTCAAATCTATCATCACCCATCTTTTGCATCCCAGAAAATTTTACGCAATTCATCATCAGGCTGAGAAGTCTGATAATTCAGTGTCGGACTGATCTCTCTTTATTACAAGGAATTTATTTTCTTGAAAACAAATTGCAACAGTTTTGAACCACCTGTTTTTCGTTTGTCCTGACCCGGTTGGATGTGATAGAATGGAGATCAGACATACCCTCAAGATCGCGGTGCCTAAAAATGCCGTTGAGGGTTCTAAAATCATAGAGGGTATGATTTTAGAATCCTGAGAGGCTATCAAATTAGAACCTTGAAAGTATATGAGCCTTGTTGTGGTATAAATTGATTTCAACAGACCACAAGAAAAGGTCATTGATTTGGAGCGCAGAAAAAGAAAACAAGTCGTGATGAGGTATTTGCACAAAGGTGCAAAACATGTGTGGAATTAGCATCCCCGGTTTTGGTCGATCAAGATTTCCATTTTCAAAACTTCAAAACTAGGTGATTTCGATGTTGCTTGGTTTGAACATCACCCGAAAACAAGGCAAAACAATGACCAACCTGCAGCAATGTGCAATAACAAAGATGTAAAATTAATCTCCGGCAACATCTTCAGCTGAATTATCATGAGCTTTACTTCAACATGATATGGCATTACCTCCAACCTCCCACATATGCCAGTTTGATTTGGAAGAAACAAATGCCAGGCCAAGTTGTGATGAGCAACCTGCAGTGACGTGCTTCCAACAACCACCTCCAGTCTTTAGATACCAACACTTTTGGTCCAGCCAAGGCGTTTGGAAAAACAATGCAGGGTCTATCATCATTTTCCCCAGGTCAATGCGGTTCAATTGTTTTTCTAAGCTTGGAGGGAACCATTCCAGACCCAGAGGTGCTGACATGTGGCCAGCCATAACCCAACTTAACCTTCCTTTGACACCTCTTCTACTTCTACATCCCTTTGCAAGTTTGTTTTCATTTAACATCTCCATTCTGTAGGTACCAAAACTTTTGGTCCAACCAAAGCGTTTGGAAAAAAATGCAGGGTCTATCATCATTTTCCCCAGGTCCATGCGGTTCAATTGTTTTTCTAAGCTTGGAGGGAACCATTCCAGACCCAGAGGTTCTGACATGTGGCCAGCCATAACCCAACTTAACCTTCCTTTGACACCTCTTCTACTTCTACATCCCTTTGCACGCTTGTTTTCATTTATCATCTCCATTCTGTAGATGCCAACGCTTTTGGTCCAACCAAGGCGTTTGGAAAAAAATGCAGGGTCTATCATCATTTTCCCCAGGTCAATGCGGTTCAATTGTTTTTCTAAGCTTGGAGGGAACCATTCCAGACCCAGAGGTGCTGACATGTGGCCAGCCATAACCCAACTTAACCTTCCTTTGACACCTCTTCTACTTCTACATCCCTTTGCAAGTTTGTTTTCATTTATCATCTCCATTCTGTAGGTACCAAAACTTTTGGTCCAACCAAAGCGTTTGGAAAACATGCAGGGTCTATCATCATTTTCCCCAGGTCAATGCGGTTCAATTGTTTTTCTAAGCTTGGAGGGAACCATTCCAGACCCAGAGGTGCTGACATGTGGCCAGCCATAACCCAACTTAACCTTCCTTTGACACATCTTCTACTTCTACATCCCTTTGCACGCTTGTTTTCATTTATCATCTCCATTCTGTAGGTGCCAACGCTTTTGGTCCAACCAAGGCGTTTGGAAAAAAATGCAGGGTCTATCATCATTTTCCCCCGGTCACTGCGGTTCAATTGTTTTTCTAAGCTTGGAGGGAACCATTCCAGACCCAGAGGTGCTGACATGTGGCCAGCCATAACCCAACTTAACCTTCCTTTGACACCTCTTCTACTTCTACATCCCTTTGCAAGTTTGTTTTCATTTAACATCTCCATTCTGTAGGTACCAAAACTTTTGGTCCAACCAAAGCGTTTGGAAAACATGCAGGGTCTATCATCATTTTCCCCAGGTCAAAGTGTTTCAAGCTGTTTCTAAAGCTTGGAGGCAAGCATTCCAGACCTACAGGTGCTGACTGTTGGCCAGCCATAGCCCAACTTAGCCTGCCTTTGACACATCTTCTACTTCTACATCCCTTTGCACGTTTGTTTTCATTTATCATCCCCATTCTGTAGATACAAACACTTTTGGTCCAACCAAGGCGTTTGAAAAAAATACAGGGTCTATCATCATTTTCCCCAGGCCAATGCATTTCAATCTGCTTTTAAAGCTTGGAGGGAACCATTCCAGACCCACAGGTGCTGACTGTTGGCCAGCCATAACCCAACTTAACCTTCCTTTGGCACCTCTCCTACTTCCACATCCCTTTGCACATGTGTTTTCATCCACCATCTCCTTTCTTTAGATACCAACACGTTTGGTCCAACCAAGGCGTTTGGAAAAAATGCAGGGTCTATCATCATATTCCCCAGGCCAATGCATTTCAATCTGTTTTTAAAGCTTGGAGGGAACCATTCCAGACCCACAGGTGCTGACTGTTGGCCAGCCATAACCCAACTTGGCCTTCCTTGCACATTTGTTTTCATCCACCATCTGCATTCTGTAGATGCCAACACTTCTGGTTCAGCCAAGGCGTTTGAAAAAAAAACGAGATCTATCATCATTTTTCCCAGGTCAATGCGTTTCAATCTGTTTTTAAAGCTTGGAGGGAACCATTCTAGACTCACGGGCGCTGATATGTGACCAGCCATATTCCAACTTAGCCATGCTTTGACACATCTTCTACAGTCTACATTTTTTTGCATCCTTTTTGTTACCCACC